CTGCTTCTCCCGTCTATCTATCGTTTTATATATATATTTGAGTGGGTGTTGCTTTATATATGTACATCATAAAAAAGTGATATTTTTCATGTAATTAGAAAGATTTGAATGATACAAATATAAAAGTGCAAAATTAGATGTTAGTGTGTGAACATGAGACCCAAGTCAAAGGGAGAGGCTATAAAATAGATGAAACAAAAAGTGAGCAATTGAGCAGGCAAAAAAATATTGTTCACGAATTTATGAGCTGGTTAATAGTTTGTGTTTGAATCATTCGTTAAGTAAGCGGCCGAATATGAATAGTTTATTAAGCTCAAATTATAAACAAACCGAACACAAATTATCTTTCACTCGATTCTATGCTTTTTATTATACAAAATCGGTGCATGTTCAAATTCAACACCATACATCTTCTTCTTTTTTTTTTCTAATTAATTTAAATAGACCAATTTGGAGCCGAACACGAGCACATTTTTCACAAGCAATTTCAAAAACGAGCTGATTTTGAATAGAATTAATTATATGTCTTCATGTTAGAATTTAAAGAACAGTTCATGGAAAGATAAGTTACATCAGCAACATACTAGTTGAATTCCAGCAGTGACTTGAAAACATGTTAAAGTGCAGCATCTGGATCCAATCTTCTCTGAATAGCAGCAGCAGCCTGAGAAGGAGAAGGTTCAGATTATGCATGTAAATCAAGCACAGAAGAATCTTAGAAGCAGAAGGAAATTACCTCAAAATTTCCTAGCTTATACTGATAGGCCATCTCCTCCCTCAGACGAGCTTGTTCCTTCATCGCTTGCGCCTTTTAAAGAAATATAGGTTAAGAATATTAAATTAAAGTAAGACTTACATGCATATCACTCAATTCGTATGTATTTACATATCTAATACCTATACTTCAATTTTTACCTATATGCTGTCTTACACATGCATGAAAAGAATGCTTGTTTCACTTTTTAGAAGTTAGAATGGTGGTACTTTTGATGTGACATGAAGGATTTGATTGGTATGATTGTAAAAATCAAAGTTTAGATGTTAGATATGTAAATACATAAGAATTTGGTGGTGTGTAAATGGCCCTGAATAGAAGAAATATTCATTAAAATACTATAGAACAAGATTTTGTTTTTATCAAACTTTTGCAAAAAAAGCTATCTTTATGATGCAAAGCTAGTTTAGTGTCACAATCATATACTAAACTAAAGAAATCACTATAAGACTGTTGCGAGAAAAGTAAATTTTTAAGGATTTACATACATACCAACTCAGCTCTTATGTATTTACATATCTAACACCTAAACTCTAATTTTATATATCTGTCATCTTACCTGTGCATTTCAACTTTTTAAAGTTAAAATTGTTGTATTTTTTACGAGATATGAAACATTTCAGTGATATAAATGTAGAAAAGTTAAATTTAGGTGCCAGACATGTAATTACATAACAATTGTGTGGTATGCATGTAAATGCCCCTCTTTTTAAAAAGGGATATAGGTGTGATAAACTTGTTTAGCATAACTATAAGAAAGTTATCTGAAACTTTGTTATAGCTGAACATCAATCTGGCTATAAAAATAGGACTACTGTTGTTATTTGAAAAATAAAACTGTGATAAAACTAAATTTTGAATTGACTTGATATTTATTTGATTATTTTGAATTTAGACATCACTTACATCTACTTTCTACTAAATAAATGATTGATATCCTAAACTCGGCTTCAAAATTAAATGCAAAACAGTTCTAACACTCAAGTCAAAGAAAATAAGAAACTATTCCAAGTCTATTTGCAGCCATAACCGGATACGATTGAAACATTATAATGTTATGTAAGAAAAAGTATTAAAATTTTGATATCGGAGGAAGCCCAAAACATAACGGAAACACAAATGCTATTTCTAAATTCCAAACATATTACAAACATGACAACACAGGCAATAAAAGATGTCCATGGGGGACGGTGAGGATGAAGGCTGATGGCAGGAGGGATGGGCAGCCGCTGGAACAGCAAGACAGCTTGGGACGGTAGTCCAAACAACAGCAGGTTGCTGTTTAGGGCTATTGGACAGCAGGAAAACAGCAAAATGAAGGCGTTGCATGCTGCGGCAGTAAAGGTGGAGAGCCGGGACAGTGATGGCAGAGAGGACGAGGGAGGATAAGGCGATGGGGTCAGCTGGAATTGCAAAAAACAGTAGATCCGCGCTGTTTTGGGCGGTGCAGCAGGAGTGGAGGCTTGCAACTGCTGGAATACAGTAATCCCTTGTTGTTCTGGACGACAATAACAAGATAAGGCGATGAGTAGCAATGCGGGAAGCACGGGAAAGGGTAGAGGAAGGATAATCACCGCCTTGAGAAAAAGATATAGCCGGAGCACCACCGGACACTCGAATACAGCCCTCGAAGGAAAAAATTCTCGGATAAACTTGAATTCATATATCAAAACAACGCACCTCACTCTAAGCATGTCATTCTCTATTTATAAAGAGGCTAGAACTATTTTAAGTAATGAAAATAAGAAAGGAGAATAAAATATAATCAGGTTTTCAGATTTTAAGAGAATATTTAAAATAAGAAATGATTTAAAATAAGAAAAAGAATAAAATATAATCAGAACATAAGATTTTTAGGAAAATATTTAAAACAAGAAAATATTTAAGAAATGAGAATAAACTATAATTAGGATTTCAGATTTTAGGAAATGATTTAAAATAGGAAAGTGCTAGGAAGAAAAGAAAGGAAATGAAGGGAAAGGAGAGGAAGAGGAACCATGGGTGGCAGGACCCCCTTGAAGATTGACCCTCATAGCCCCGCTTCAGTCGAAGCTTTGGTTCCTTGTCTTTAATCCTGCGATACCCAAATCCTCATGGCATGACATTAAGTCCCTAGATAAGTCGATCATATCGGTGTTGTCATTCTAAAACACATTCTGGTAGAATAGATAGTCATCCTCTTTTGGTACATCCAGAGTAGGAACTGCATATAGAGGAGGGTTCTCGCAATGCAAATCTCAAGCCCTTAAATTTGAAATCGATGATTTTGTGTCACTCTTACTAGCAGCCACTCAAGAGTGAAATCTTCAGTGATAGAACCTAGATCCCATTGAAGGATTTTCATCCCACTCAAGTTCCTATGGCACATTTCAAAGTTGAGGTTTGTCTCTCCTGGCTGGTCATCTGACGAGGGGTATCATGCAGAATAGGAAATAACCTTTGAATAACTGCACATGATATTCCCGATATGACCCAGAATGACTCCTCTTCGAACATTCTGAACATTCCTCCGTACGGGTAACTTAGGAGGGGTCTATAAATCTAAAATATATGCATTTCCTTATCTATGGTGACCTTGTATGTGATGTCGGCTCCTCAAACTCATAACTCTTGTAGACACTCAATGTTGGTCCTACTGATGTTCCTCTCAAAGTCTGCAAAATGCTGGTTTGAGGTAAGGGTGGAGGAAGGGTAATCACCACCTCAGGAGAAAGATACAGTCGAAGCTCCACCCAATCCCTCTGATATGGCTCTCAAAAGAAAAAACTCTATAATAAACCTGAATTTAGATATAAAACAACACACCTCACTCTAAGCACATCATCCCCTATTTATAAAAAGAATAGACTTAATTTAAGTAATCAAAATAAGAAAAGAGAATAAAATATAATCAGGCTTCGGATTTTAGGAAAATATTTAAAAAAAGAAAGGAGAATAAAATATAATTATGATCTTAGATTTTTAGGAAATGATTTAAAATAAGAAAGGAGAATAAAATATAATCAAAATTTTAGATTTTAGAAAAAATGATTTAAAATAAGAAAGTGCTAGGAAGGAAAGGGAAGGAGTGAAGAGGAAGGAGGAAAAGGAACCCCCTCTCTCTCTCTTAAGGATCCCCCCCTTTTCTCTCTTTCAAGGATCAGGCCCCATAGGCCAATGTCAAATTTAGATTTTAGACATGCAAACACATGAGAACTTAGCAGTATTAATGTAAATCCCTTAAAAAAAAAGAAAAATAATGAAAGATTTGCATACATACCACTCAATTGTTATGTATTTATATATCTAGCATCTAAACTTCAATTTCTACATATACGTCTTCTTATCTATGAATGAAAATTATATTTCCTTTTCAAAAGTTAAAATGATGATATTTTTGATGTGATATGAAAGATTTCATCTGTATAAACGTAAGAAATAAAATTGTTAGATATGCAAATGCGTAAGAATTTAGCAGTAAATATATAAACCATGCAACAAAATAAAGGATTTCCAACCATTCCACTCTGCATGGAGCGTTTCAATTCATCCACCTTCGCTTCCTTCTGTTTTTCGCGCTCCAACAACAACTCTTGTCTGCGAACAAAAAAGAAGCACAATATGATGTACCAAACCTCCGGTATTTGGAAAACAAGATTATTTAAGTCAGATGAAAGCTATCAAAATATAACCCACATAAAAGGAAGATTTACATACATTCCACTTAAACTCCTGTATTTAAATATATAACACCTAAACTTCAAGGAAAATTTACATACATGCCACACAATTCTAATGTATTTACATATCTAACACCCAAAGTTTGATATTTACATTTATAACACCCTGATATCATAAACCCATGCATGTTGTGATGTGATGTAAATCTGATTGTTTAGGTGTTAGATATGTAAATATATAAGAATTTTTGTGGCATGTAAATGCCTCAACTTTAATTATCACATATATGCCACCTTACATATGCATGAACAAGGTGTATTCACATTTTAAAAAATAAAATAGTGGTATTTTTGGTATAATATGAAAGATTTGTGTGATATAATGTAAAAAGTAAAGTACAGGTGTTAGATATATAAATACATAAGAATTGGGTGGTATGTATGTAAACGCCCCAAAATAAAGGTACCTTATACAGTTCAAGATTCTAACTACAAGTGAATAGAAAGTATCGTCTCTTTAGTCTCATGAACCCAGAAAGATTTATAAGAAAAGAGAATGTCAATAACAGTGATACTTGTTGGAGTAAAATTAAAAAGGGGTTTGAAATTTTTGGGCACATTTACATAAATACCACACAATTCATATGTATTTACATATCTAAAGCCTAAACTTTGATAATTAAACTTAAAAACACTTTGGTGTCATAAATCTATGCATGCAAATGTGTATTTTCACTATTAAATGTTAATAATGGTTGATATTTTTGTATGTAATGTTGAAGTTTTGAGTGTTATAAATGTAAATATGAAAATTTAGAGGTTAGAGATGTAAATACATAAGATTTGTGTGGAATTTAAATGCATGTATGTTCCTTGGATATAATCACGTCACGAAAATAATAATAATAATAAAATAATCCTGGCAACAATTTTCCATCACTAGTTAACTATATGAGGCCTTATTGAAAATTTTATTGCCATTAACAATTTTAATTGCAATTTGAATTAGTAAAAATTCAAAAAACCATAGGAGTTCACTCAAGTTTTGTCCATCCTCTAATCCCAAATTCAAATTACTTGCTAAGAGTAAAGTGTAGAGCCATATAAAATTGGCTCTTCAAAGCTCAGCATTTAGAGGGGGAGGGGGGGGGGGGAAATTTTTACATACAAACCCCTTAATTTTTTTCAATTCTTATCTATTTACATATATAACACCTTAACTTCAATTTTTACGTAAATGTCACTTTATCTATGCATGAAAAGGCGCATTTCACTTTTTAAATGTGAAATTAGAAATATTTTTTGTCATATGATAGATTTGGCTGGTACAAACGTAAAGTATGTAATTACATAAGAACTGGGTGGTATGTATCTAAATGCCCCCCAAAAAAAATCCAAAACTTCACATCAATTGCAAATAGACGATCATTATAAGTAGTTTCACATCAAACAGGCCTCAAGTCACATGAACAAACAGATGCACTGTATCCAGAAATTAAGCTGCAGTAGAACTGCCAAACAAAATCTCATGGGAAGATTTACATACATACCACTTAATTCCTTTGTATTTACAAATCTAACATCTAAACTTTAATTTTTACAAATATGCCACCTTATCTTACCAATGCATAAAAACGTATATTTCACATTTTAAAGATAAAATTGTGATGTTTTTGATGTGATATGAAAGATTTAGGCGGTATAAATGTGAGAAGAGTATAATTTTGGTGTTAGATGCATAATTACATCGAAAATGGGTGTTAAGTATGTAAATGACCGAATCTAATTACAGTCAATTGGCCGGAATTATAGCCCTGAAAAATCTAATAAGTTAACCTCGGGACAAGATGACGAAGAAGGATAAAAATACAAATTATTATAATGAGAAAATTAACATAGCGGATAACTGCATACCTTCGTTGTTCCTCATCATTAAAAGCTGTACGCTCCGTTGCAATGACCTTCTTAGTGCCCTTCTTTTTCTCATTATCCATCTTGCGTCGATAATAAGCATCTAAATTATAGTACCTGCAACAAGCAGAAAAGTTTATGAAATATTTTAGATCATTCTTAAAAGTTAGGCCTTTATAGCAAAGAATCAAGTAAATTAGGAATATGATTAATAAAAAAGGTATTTACATATATATCACACAATATTATTCATTTACATATCTAACAACTAAACATTCTATGTATTTACACATCTAACACCTAAACATTCATATTCACATGCATACCACTCAAATCATTAACATCACATCAAAATACCACAATCAATATCTTTTAGAAAGTTAAATCGGCCTTTGCAAGGTAGGTTTATGACACCAAGGTGTCAAAAGTGTAAACATCAAAGTTTGGGTGTAGATAAGTAAATACATAAGAAATGTCTGGGATTTATGTAAATTTCCATTAATAAAATTGTAGGATCCAATGATATAGAACCTTTTGTTAACATACAACATTAAATGCTTCTAACTTCATCAAATTTATGGCCAAAATCCATGAAGTTAATTTCATTACAAGAAGAATATTCCCATTTAAAATGACAAATAGCATAGAAAAGAGATAAATAAAGGATACAACTCGTGAGTCTCCCACTTATGCAGATTTGAAGTGGGGCGCATGAGAAAAATCTCAACAAAAAAAAGTGGGAAATTTACATACAAACCGCGCAATTTATTTGTATTTACATAAAGTTTGATATTTACATTTATAACATTTTGGTGTCATGAATCTATACATGAAAAGGTGTACTTCAGTTTTAAAATGTTAGTAGTAGTGATATTTTTTTGTTATGTATGTAAATAATAAAGTTTAGGTGTTAGATATGTAAATACATAAGAATTGTATGGTATGTACGTAAACCCCCAGCCCACCCCAAAATAATTAAAAAAAAGAAGATAAACATGGAGAAAAGAAGAGCCAGTATAAGGACTATAAAATTTCTAAAAAGCCTTTTAACTTCTAAATTGCATTTCTGAGTCATCCAGAAATTGAATACCTTCTGATTATTTACTAATTTCAATAATTTATTTATTAGAATTATTTAAGGCTATCACTTTATGGTTGTCACTAATCAAAATATTCAAGGACAAGTCAATCCTTATGTTTTTGGCATAATTATATATAAAAGGATCAATACCAAAAAAATTGCTAGCATATTACTAAGAGTTGAGCATAACCTAGTTTTATGATTCATTAATTAAATTACTCAGATAATTCAAGATAAAATAGCTAGAGTTTTCATTGTAGATCAATCTAAACCTATTTCTCCCTTCCTCTTCTCCCCTTTATCTATCAATTCTTTTAGGAAGATTTAGATACATACCACTCAATTCCTGTGTATTTACATATCTAACACCTAAACTTCAATTTTTACATATTACCTAAGCATGAAAAGGTGAACATATATAACACCTAAACTTTACTTTTTTACATTTATACCACATAATTCTTTCACTCTCATAAAAAATACCACTTTTTTAACTTTGAAAAAGCGAAAAAGTGTATTACACTTTTTTAAAAGTTATATTAGTAGTATTTTTTATGTGATATGAATATATCCGTGATAGTGTTGGTGTAGCTCAGGTGGCGGAAAAAAATAGAGAGTCGTCTTAGATGATTTGGTCACATTAAACATTGACCATCTAATGATCCAATAAAGAAAGTAGATGTTTCAGATTCAACTTATGTTATGAAAGGCCGAGGTAGACCTAGAAAAACTTGGGAATATTATATAAAAATGATCTTAATTTATTAGAATTAAATGAAAATATGACACTTAATAGGATGCAATGGAGAAAAAGAATTATGTAGTCGACCCCACTTAGTGGGATAAAGGCTTGTTGTTGTTAATTTTTTGTGAGATAGGAAAAATTTGTGTGGTATAAATGTAAAAAGGAAAGTCAGGTGTTAAATAAGTAAATTCATAGGATGCCCCAGTAATTGTCTTTATAGAACCAAGGAAATTAAAAGGTGATTGTTCAATCTTCCCTATAACTTGGAAGCCAGATTAACATTTACAACTCTTTTGAATCGAAGATCTAAACCATTTATTTCCAAAAGGGACTAAATGGCTAATAAAATAAACCAGGAGATAATGGTGACATTTTATCAATACATATGCAATAATGTGATCTAGAAGTTAAGTAATTATACTCATTCCACGCTCAAAGCTAGCCTATCAAATATCACCAACAGATTCAGAGCTCATCACCACAGAGATATGCATTAATTCTAGGACGAACCAACTTGATTTGGATGATTATGTTTTTCGTCAATCCAGATTTCAATTAAAATTTGCAAAGATAATCCATATATTAGTTACAGTATCATAATCTTAAAAGGATAATCAACTTCTGTATTATCACATAGCTGACATAAGAAGCATATAAAACATAAGCACAAACAATTAAAATCTCATGTAAAGTCTTACTTCTTCGACGGAAATGTGGCTGTATTATGATCCTCCATGAATCTGCTCATGAAAGCATAATTTAGAAATTTATAATATGATAAAAAAGAATAACTCACCAAAAACAAAAATTGTCTATCAGGTTACCTTGGAAGATTTACATCATACCACTCAATTATTATGTATTTACATATCTAACTCCTAAACTTCAATTTTACCATACATACCATGTTACCTATGCATGAAAGGTGCGTTGCACTTTTTAGAAGTTAAAATGGTGGTATTTTTTATGTGATATGAGAGATTTGGGTGGTATACATGTAAAAAGTAAAATTTGGTGCCGGTATGTAAATATATATGAATTAGGTGGTATGTATGTAAACGCCCCTAACAGAATAAGCAAATCACGGTAGAGACTAGAGACCATCTTAAAATTCGGTTATGGTTGTATAACTTACTGTTTGAACATCTGTTTCTCTTCCCAGTTTGGCAACGTTTCCAAATTAACCTGTATGCAATACGAAAAGTAATTACAATATTTTGATGACAACAAGGTTGCTTCTTATTTTACGTAATAATTATAAGAACAAATATAAGTGAATGCAATTTCTTAATTGTTGGGCACTTAAACCCACTTGCTGCAACAATGAGAGATTGAGATTGAGAGAAGTAAAGGGGAGTCTAAAAGCAGCATTAATAGAGTGCAATGCGCAATGCAATACGCCTAGCTTTATTTTTGCTTCAAAGTGTAAAGTATAGAGCGAAGCAACACTTTTATCCAAAGTGATTTATAAGTTATACAAAACTATTAATGCAAAAATATATTAACTAATAGTTATAAAATATAAAGTAAGACTTAAAAGTTGATATAAAATAGAAAAAATATGAAACAATACATAGCTTGAAGGTAGATATTTAGGGTAAATCAGTAAATTATAATTTTGAACTATTAGATTTTCAAACAATTTCTAATAGTTTAATGCAAAAATTAAAAACTTAAAAATTGCATAAAAAACCTCCAAATTAACTTCAACGCTTCGAAGCATACTTCAGCGAAACGAAACGGGCGTCATTGCGAGTGCAGTGCGCATTTCGAAATATTATCTATAAGATGAGTTGTTTAGGAAAAAAACAGGGAAAAGCTAAAAAACACAAATAAAAAAGAGAAGAACTTAAAAAAAAAAGGATGACTTAGAGTAAGGTTGTTCATATAAATTTATGAATCTTAATTTTATAATGCCATGCAAAAATTTTAATTAGTGTTTTTAAAGCTCCCTGCAAAATTTTGAATTGTGTTTCTTGAAATTATCATTTATTTGCATTTGCTGCATATTGACACCCAGTTGGCCATTATATTCATGTAATTTAAGTGTTGATTTATTTATTTTGAGAATTTGTCCTAATAAGCCTTCTAGCAAAGTATTCCCTATTTTATTTTTGAGGAACATTTACATACAAACCACCCAATTCCTACGTGTTTATATATCTAACACCTAAACTTTATTTTTTTACGTTTATAATACCAAATCTATCATATCACAAAAAAAATAAAACTATTTTAACTATTAAAAAGAGAGAGACATTTTTTTATGCATAGTAAGGTGGCATGCATTTAAAAGTTGAAGTATAGATTTTAGATATGTAAAAGCATATATATTGAGTGGTATGTATGTAAATCTTTCTTTTTTTTTTCTTATGCCTCGATTCCATCAATTAAGTCTTGCAGGGGTTCACATTTTACCTAACCACAAAGGATAGATGATTGGCCATAAGTACCAACCACAAGCCCATTACCATTGTAATGGGGAGGATAGCATATAATATTTTAATATTGTTACTTTGAAAGATTTGCAGGCAGTTTCAAGAAATATGCATGCCTTTTCTGGAATGGTCAGAGACCTGTGACATCTTTCTCAATGTGGGTAGGTTAAAAACCCATGGGTGCCTTTTTTTACATGGCATAAATTCATTTATGATAGAAGTTAATATAATAACAATCATATTATTATTATTATTATTTTGATTTTTATGTTCTACTAAACCTTAAAAGAAGGATTCAAGAGCTTATACTCACCTTTTTGGCATGGGTTATGGTAACTTTACCTTGGTTTTATGCACTACTTGTGCTCTTCATTCATTGTGTGGGTAGGATAAGCAAAAAGTTAGCTACACTCCATCCATACCCATCTTTCTTAGTGTGGGCGGAAGAGAGAAACAGATAAGTTGTGGTTATCTCATTCACAGCATCTTTATTATTTATTTTATAGTTTTGATGTGATAAATCTCATTATTTTAATTTCAAAATTATTTAAAAATACTAATGAATATTTTGTAGTTATATTCATGTGTTTTGATTGTGATAAATGAAATATAACTGATATTATAATATTATTATGTCATTATTAAACTCTTTTATTATGGCTAGCCGGACCGACGGGGAATTAGAGAAATCTATGGATTTCCATGAGATTAGTGCTCATCTATTTCAGGATGTAGCAAAAAATCAATTATATAAATGCAATTATATATATATATATATATATATAAGT